CTCCTAGCCATACGCGGTAGCCCCAGACGCGGTGCCCAGCTCCCAGCAGCGCGCTAGCCCACGCCCCTGCCCACCCCGACCCCAGACGCCAGGCTGCCTGGGTTCTTCCCGCCCTTCTTGAGGCGAGGGACGGGTTAGGGCAGGACAGAAACAGACGTTTCCTACGGGCGCCTCGGTCGTGTCCCCGCCCCGACGCGGAACTGGGCCTGCCGTGCCACCCGTGAGGCCCTGCAGCCGGGCTGTGTCCGCGTGCTAGCCCGGCTCTGCTTCCGCCGAGGGGGTGCTGGGCAGTGACAAGGGACAGCCCGTGCTCAGCCCGGCAGCCTCAGGGAGGGGCAGCCAGTCCCTGGCGAGCCCTCAGGGCTCCAACCCTGCCTCGCCCCAGAGGGGGGCCAGGAGGCCCCGATGCCCGTGCCTGACCCCGCCATCGGTCCTGCTGCTTGGGCAATGTGGCTGCATCCTGGACACGGGGACAGAGACCCGGGGACACAGAGACATGGGGACACAGAGACAGGGCCGCGCAGAGACACGGGGACACAGAGAGACACGAGGACGCAGAGACACAGACACGGGAACACAGAGAGACACGGGGACACAGAGAGACATGGCCATGCAGAGACATGGGGACACAGAGACAGGGCCGCACAGAGACACGGGGACACAGAGAGACATGGGGACAAAGAGAGACACGAGGACACAAATACACGGGGACACAGAGAGACACGAGGATGCAGAGACACAGACATGGGGACACAGAGAGACATGGGGACACAGAGAGACACGAGAACACAGAGACACAGGGACACAGAGACACGGGAACACAGAGAGACACAAGGACGCAGAGACACAGACACGGGGACACAGAGACATGGCCACATAGAGACATGGGGACACAGAGACAGGACCATGCAGAGACACGGGGACACAGAGAGGCACGGGGACACAGAGACACAGGGACACGGGGACACAGAGACACAGGGACACGGGGATGGAGAGAGGCCAGGGATGCACACAGACCTGAGACACGTGTGGGCTCACATGGCACAGGTGGCTGTCCCTGTGGTCCAGGCCCCCACTGCAGACGCCCCCCCAGAAGCCCCTGGCGCTGGGCGATGGGACAGCGCGGGGAAAGAGCACCTTCCCGGACGGGCGGACGACCATGACACTCAGAGAACGAACGCCTTTTCCGCACGCGGGGGGCTGGCCTATCACCTCCATCTCCCCACCGCCTCCTCCCAGAGCTGGAGGGAAAGTCCCCAAATCGAGCAGAGGAGGGGATGGGGGGCCCTGCCCACCCAGGGTGCCCCTGCGTGTGGAGGGCGGGCTCGCTCCACACCTGCTGTGGGCGCGGGCGGGCAGACCCCCAGGTCGCCACGCCCAACTCTC